CTGCCATCTTCCAACAAAAAAGGCCACAGAAGGAAAGAACAATCAGCAAATGGCATTGTAATTTTTCTTAAATATGAAATGTTACATAAGTAGTCCATACATAAATCTCAATTCAGCTATAGCTGCTGAATTCAACTTTTCCAAAGACCCTCCCACATTTTGCCAAGAAAAGTAGAAACATTCCTATGCTTCCAATCCAAGAGTTCTTTCTAGAGCTCTTGACTCCTGTAGGCCCGTCTTTGCTGGTTTCTATTCATGTAACGAGCATCTATCTTATGCCAGTTGCCATGTTAGGCTTTGGAGAAGAAATAAAGACGCTGTGCTGGCCCTCAGAGAGCTCACAATCTCAAACTCTTAAGGGGGACGACTTGGATGAGAAGGTATGCAAGCCACCTGTGTGACAGACAAGAAAGCAAACCAAGGGAGAAAAAGAAAAAACCTAGAAGAATCACGACTATTGTTATCATCAGAAAAGAGTGGCCTCGTTTCAGCTATTATCCAAATGAGTTAGACCAAATGTATACTGTTCATTAGTCCTTGGCCCATTATGGCTATTTAATAAATATCTGTTGAATAAATGAAAAAGGAAATACATCCATAAGCCTAGGAGATCTCCAAGTATGATGAGACAACTGGGCCTGCCAAATACGTCCTGCCAAAACAAGCACGGAACTACAATTCTGGTCATTCTTCCTATGTGCTGGCTGTTGGAACAAAACGGTTATGCAATCATTATCCACGGTGACTATACTTGAGCCCTGCCCGGACCCACTTTATCTGAGTCATAAGCTCATCATAACCAACAGTGCTTAATTCAAATGAAATAGCTGTGAAACCAGTTTGTGAGTATTGCATGTATATGTAAAAATTCAATCCTGACCATAGCCAGAAGTGACACTTGATAGGTGACCTTCCCTACTCTCTCATCTTCCATTCTCAGTACTCCAGCTAGAGAACAGAAAGCAGTAGTTACAAAGACAGGGTTCAGAGTGACAGACCTGGACTCAAATTCTGGTTCCACGAGTTACTTGTGTGACGTTGGGCATGTCCTCAGCTTCCGTCTAATATCTGTGTACAAGGAGCTTAACATAATACCACCTGTATCAGCATTGTTATAAGAATTAATAAGACAGTGCTAGAATACAGTATCCTGACACATTTCAAGCTTTTGATAAAAAAAAAAACACATTCAATTTAGTGAAGAAGAAAAAGGTTGTTACTTAATTAAAGAGGAAGTTGAAAATTTAAGCTGAAACTCTGGTCTTTTGAAGAGGCCTCTCCTTAAAACCTGTTACACTAATTCTCTTTCCAAGAAGTTCCAACTCTGCAATCTGAGTCACCACGTGCTAACCTCAGGTTCCCTTTCCTATCAAACAGGTTGGAAAGGTTCCTTTAGTTCCAAGCACATGCATAGGATCCCAAGATTAATTCTTTGAAATTTTAAAGAAAATGAACACGTTCTAAAATGATAGCTCGACCGCTGAAAAAACAACTTAACAAATCTGCTGCCATCGAATGGTTCCCAAGTTACGGCAACCCTGTGACAGGGAAGATCTGCCTCGAGGTAAATTTTTCCGGGCGCAGAAAGCCTCATTTTTCTCTCACAGAGGACTTGGTGTACTTGCAGTGCCTACCTTGCAGTTAGTCACCCAATGTGCAACCCACGATGCCATCAAAGTTCCTTACCACTACAATATGCTCCCTGCATTGAGTTAGTGCTGACTCATAGCAACCCTATGGGATAGAGTAGAACTTTCCCCGTGAGTTTTGAACTGTGGACCGTGTGGTTCACAGGCCAGTGCGTGTCTACTACGCCACCAGGGCTCATAGAGGAGGTTAAATACTCAAAGCCACTCAAGTCGGAAAGTTTCAAGATTTTTTGAACAGGTATAAAAAATAACTTCTGTTGCCCTATGAAAGAGAAATAAAAGCTTTTTAATAAACACTAGTTTTTATAAGAGATGTTAGTTGAACCACACATAGGACTACAAACCACAAGGGCAACAGTTCAAAACTATCAACAGCTTTGTGGGGGGAAAAATAGACTTTCTACGCCGGTAAAGAGTTAGTTACAGAAACTCACAGGGACAGTTCTACTCTGCCCGATGGGGTCATTACGAGTCAGAATTGACCCATTGACATTAAGTTTGGTTTGAGGGAGAAAACTAATGTTGGTAGCAAAAAAAAAAGGGAGAAGTTCAGCTAAACCTGTAAATTTAATGAGAACAATCAGGAGGTAATTTAAATGCTTTTCACTTACAAGCTTTCTCATGACAGTACTAATCCACTGGTAGGTAGCCTTTGCTGACAAGGTAAGCAATTGTTTTTGAGTCATAATTATAATGTGTAACAATGTGGCTGAATAGTTGCCGACAATCTTCTTATGATTAAAACACCTATTCATCAAATCTACTATCTACATGTTGCAGGGAGTGGTTTGACAACCTCTCTTCTTATAAGCAAAGACGAGTGTCGGGGGGTATTGGGCACGACTTGGTTAAATCAGACCCCAATTTTTCACTACTTTGCACAGGATCTCTTAAGTTCTTTGTCTGCCTATGAAGAAGTCTTTCATAGCTGTTTCTCAAGTACAGTCCATTTTATTGCTCAGCTTTTATACAGGGGGGGGAGCTTCCAAAAGTTTATGTAAATTCCAGTATCTTTTCATTCCATTTTCCCCTCAGGCACCAGTCTTATCAGCAGGGTGGGGATCTTCTGGACTTACACCTAAAGCTTACTCATTGAGAGCAGGCTGTATACAGAACCCAGTACACAGCACCCATCTTCAGAAGGTTCATGTTGTTCTCGTTTCTCCACATTGGAGAGTTGATACTGGTAATAAGACAGGATTAAATTCTTTCCATGTAGAAAAATGGCGTCTGGGCAAACAGACCAGTAGCAACCTGTAGGGATAACGGCCATTATTGGGCTACACAGGCAACACAGTGAAGAAGTGAAGTAAAGATAAGCTGGCTCCTAAACAGGAAGCCTCCAAAGTTATGAAATACCCTCCCCACTTTATTATGGAGCAAAGGTTGTAAGCATGGCAACAACTGGTTTGGCCCCCACAGCACTTTATGAACTAGTTGCCAACACGTCGGAAGTGGGAGAGTTCACTGAAAATCTAAACACCAGTTTTTATCTGAAAGAGTCTGAAGATCTGCTCCCCAGATTCAAATGCAACATGGGTCCAGTTCCTGCCTGAAAACTACTGGTTTGGGGATGCTCTCTACTCTGCCACCCTCTCCCCCTTTCTCGTTGCCCAGCCCCTGCGGGCATCAGGCCTTTGTGTTGGCAATTCCTGAATACAGCTTTAAGAAACCAACCCACAGCTAGTCAGCATACATGTTTTAATGGTCTTTCTTAATTTAGGAAGTTGATCATTGTGTATTTCATATATTAATCCAATCCAGTCAGGCAGACTTTCTTACTCATGATTTAGGATACTTTCCAAACATTTATATGAATAGAAGACAAAGTGTAACCTGACCTGGGTGATCAAAAGATAAAACAACATAAGAAGAAGGTGGCACTATGTCTTGGCAGCTCCGACCACTGCTAAGTCATGAAATACGAATAATAACTCCAACTGGATCAAAACTTCTCACTTTACACAAGAGATACAGGTGTCAGGAGCAAACTCGAATGGTGATTAGTCAAATGATCTGCTAAACAGCTAAACAGCGCTTTGAATATCTGCATATGTATTTATTTATGAGAGGGCTTCAAAAAACTGGTGGAAAAATGGAAGATAAAGGAAGCTTTCCACAAACTTTTTGAAGCCCCTTCACATATACACGTATATTTTACATACATCATATGTCTATATAATGAGCTTATATATTGTGTACACACACTGATGCATATATATACACTGTATAAATACACCCCCAAAAAGGATGTGTGGTAAAGAAGTAACCAGAAACCCAAACTCACTGCCACTGAGTTGATTCCAACTTAGAATGATCCTATAGCACAGGGTAGAACTGCCCCTGGGGGTTTCTGAGACTATGTCATCCTTTGTGGGAGTAGAAAGCCTAGTCTTTCTCATGTGGAGCTGCTGGTGGCTTCAAACTGCTGGCCTTGGGGCTAGCAGCCCACCTTGCAACCACTATGCCTCCAGAGCTTTTCAAATGAGAAGATCACTAAATATGTATACCAATTTATCAGGTTAATTGAATGGCCATTGAGAGCATGGGCTTTGACATTCATTTCAAAGACTTTTTAAAATTATCTTACTGAACTCAGAGCGAGAGCACTTCGGCAGCAAGTTTCCTAAATACACAAAACAAATCAACCTCCAGAGAAGTCACAAAGTGGACACTTTGGCGTTCCATTACGGTAAAACTCCGCTGCCATCCATGGTAAATATCAGGAGAAACAGTATCGCTTCGTTCTGTTATACTACGCAGGGCGGAGACCACAATCACAGGGTTCTGTAACTGGTCAACGTATCAGAACTGACATTCAATGAAGAGTCTAGTGTAACTGTTTCCTAATTTGTTCTGCCAACCCCGGAGCAGAGTTTACCTTCTGCAATGTCTATGGGCAGAGCATGACAAGGCAGCATCACGCTAATACTTGAGTCACGTTCTAGTGCTCCAAAGGACGCCTTGTTAGGCTGGCAGGGCTGTGACACAGCTTTCCCCCATCCAAGGACGTCCTGAGCCCTGCAGGCCAAATGGTCCTGGGAAGACCGCAGTAGCGGTCACTGTGGCCACCTGTCCCAAGCTGTACCCTGCCGCGTTGCGTGGATGCTCCCTTTGACGGGAGAGTTGCCACATGATCAGGTGACGCGGCTCCCAGGCCGGTGGGCTCAGCTTTGCCTCCAGGGTCACGACCCGCCAAGGTCCCCCAGGCCCAGGAGGAGCAACTCCAATGTGGTAGATCCCACTTAGCGGCCTTGGCCTTCTGGCCCAGGTCCTGGGGAGAGGAGCGGGACGCGCACCCAGCCCCGCGTGCCCCGGCTCCCGCCTCCTCTAATGTCACCCTGAGCTCACCAAAAACCGCGTGGAGCTGGTGCCCTGGTCCACCGCCCCCACCAAAGGGCCCAAAGCTGCTTTCCTCGCTGCTGCCATGGAATCAACTTCGGATCGGCTGGCGCTCGGGGCCCGTTTCCCGGGTGACGGCGGCGGGAAGGGGGAGGGGCGAGCGGCGAGACCGAGTTTGAGGCCGTGCACGACAGCGGAATGCTCGGACCGCACAGAGCGGCCCCTATACCCGCGCGGCGTCTTCTCAACCCCGCCCCATCGGCCCAGACCCCGCCCCCAAATGCGGTCCTCTGGCCTCCGAGGGCGTGGCTGAGGGGGGCGCTGTCCGCGGGAGCAGCCAATCAGAAAGCGCGAAAAGAGGCGACCGGTTCCGACCATGAGGGCGGGAGACGTCACGGGGGCGGGGCCTGGGCGGGGCTGAGGTGGTGGCCCGCGCAAGAAGGTCACGTGGGGGACCGGCAACCCGGCAGCGGAGCCAGCAGAGCTAGTGGAGGAGGTGGCAGGGCGGTGGCGGGGGTGAGAGCTGATCACTGACCCGCGGCGCAGCTGGACCGTGGAAAGGGCACATCCCCACTCGCACCCTGGGGTGCAGAACTGCTTGTTCTCTTGGGTGGGCTGTGCAGAGTACTGCTTAAGTCTCTGTGATCCCACTGGACTCGACCTTCCCGCGCTTCCCATGCTCCACCCACCTCCCCGCACCTGGGGGTAGGGCTTTGCCCCCCCCAGACTAATAAAAATAACCTTTTTAGAGATTGACCCCATATGGTGTTACCGTCAGAAGTAGTGTAGGGACAAGGAACGAGGAAGTTGTTTCGGTTTGACACTTAAGAGAAGTCGCTCAAAATCAGGCTGCTCGGTTCACTCAGTGGACCATTCTAGCAGAAAGTGTCTGGCACTTCCTTGTCCTGAATGTCCTTGTTCCAGACTTTACCTCCGGCTGGTCTCTCCTTCCCCCATAAGTCATTTTCTCTCTTCCCATTAAGTGCTCTGGAACTCAAAGGGAGAAAAAGAGACTCTGTCTCTTGACCTTGAACTTACCTTGGCAGACCGCATTTGGGTCAAGGGCTTTCAAACTTGGGACTAAGACCCACAGTGCCAAATAGTTTGCGAAACAGCTCGGTGCAGGAACGTTTGTGTAATGATTAGAAATATATATATTCTTGAACAAATGTTCCCAGAATAATGTTTATCCTTTCATGCTATACATTCTGTATTGTTTATTCTGTTATACCGGTATATCATTTTTTAAATGTTGGTTGAAAATCATAAAATTGGTGTTGGACATCATCGTTTCATCAATTTCAAAATCACTTCACTATTCTCACCCTCTCATTTTAAAGCTTTCTTCTCTTATCTTCTCTGTGATATCTGACTTGTCTACCCATAGCTTTACAGTTGTGCCACAGGTAATCTAGAAGCTAAGTTCCCTAAGTACTTACTGTCTGGAAATAAGATTCTGCTGTTCCAGATGAGATGCTGAACTTGATAACAATTGATTAACTTATTTGGTTTAGTATAGTGTCATGGATGGTTCAGCCTTTCTGAATTTCCTGGAAGAAAATAGGCAGAGAGACAAATGTAAAGAAATGAAGCCAACTTCTGCCTAAACCTCGTGAAAGGAATTGATTGTATCCATGATGTAGGTAAAGATTCCTTGACTGTACGTAGGAAGCAGTAAAAAGAAAACCACCAAACCTACTATATCGATTCATTGAAACAAACTAAAAAATGATTTTAATAAATAAGAGAATCAAAAAAAAAAAAGTTACAGTCTCGGAAACCCACAGGGGAAGTTCTACTTTGTCCTGCAGGCTCCTCATGAGTCAGAATCGACTTGATGGCAGTGAGTTTTTCCTCAAGTGCGCACCCCAAATATCTACAGGGAATTCTCATAGGTCTCTCCTCTTTTATCCTTTGAAAATGAAACCCTTTTGCTAATCCTTTAGCAGCCCTTCAAGCCCCAGCTTCAGTCTGAAAATGCATCAATATAAATGTCAATTTCTCTACTAGGTCTTCCTAGTTTCCTTTTCAGACTATCATTGATAGACTAACAATGAGACAGTGGAAGCCCTGACAGCATAAGGGACTTCCTTGAGACAGCCTCCTCTCCTGGCAAGACCAGGGCCAGAATTTCCATGTTCTGACATCAAGTCTAGCACCCTCTTAAAAGCAGCCTAGAGGAATGGGAGCAGAGGGCAAGCAGGAAGGGAAAAGGATGAGAAGGAAGAAAGTAGCTATGGTCTAGCAGTGTTAAAAACAACAAACACTTTGTCCTTTGAAAGGCAGAATGCTGGTCCCTGCCTCCCACCCCAGCTCTGAAGGCAAAAGTGGAAAAAAATATTACATTGAAAAGCCAAAGCCCTGGGTCTGATTTGAGCCCTGCCATTCAACATTAAATCATTATGACCTTGAGAAACTCACTTCTTCCCATTGCTTCCCTTTGCCCTTTGTGAAATAGGAAAAATGTCATCAATGTAGACAGGTTAATGTGAGACTCAGATGACATAATGCCTGCTAAACACTGTCCACGCAGCACAAGAACAAGGCGCAGTCTTCCTGGCAAGTCTGTTTTCACTACAGAACCCTAGAGAGGGAAGACTGAGCCCTTAATGCAAATTATTTAAGCAGCGTGAGTCATCAAAAGCTCACTTTGATGATCCTGACTAGTGGAACAGGAGACCAGTGTTAATCTCCATTGGAGAGGCTCTAGGTATTTCTCTCATTCCTCTAGTTTTTCCTGTTCTTTGTGTAACTTACATGGAATTACGGAATAAGCAGAAGGTCTACATTTCTCTAAAGAATTCTCCCCTCCCCACCACCACCACCCCACACATACACATATCTGTATACCAAAGCTTCTCAGTCTTTTCTTACTTGCCTAAAACAGCACCTCGTTTGCTCTCGTAGCCAAGCAGTTGGTGGTTTAAATCCACATGGTGATCTGCTATAGAGTCTGAAAACCGTATACCAATAATCTACTCTGCACACATGGGGTCACCATGAATCTGAATCTACTTGATGGTAACTAACAACACAGGTTTCCTTGAAAGCTTATTGTTAGCTGCCATGAAATCAGCCCACCCTTCTTTTAACTGCACCTCTTACCATTCTAGTAGTTACTTAGATATGGGTTGATATGCAGATGTAAACCTAATGGGCAAAGTTAGTATCAGAAAGGATTACATAATTAACACCCAGACCCAAACCCCAATGTAGGACACAATTGAACTGCCTTGTGGAGTATCCAATGTTGTAAGGAAGGAGACTGTCACATCTTCTGCCTTTGGAGTGGCTAGCTGGTGGGTTCAAAACACTGACAATTTGGTTAGCAGCAAGACAGCATAAAATAGTGATAAACAATAGTACAGGCATTCCTTTTATTTTATGGGATTGAGATGATTTAGGCAGATATAGAAAGTGGACTTGTCCAAGATAATGGAGATAGTTCAAGACAAATTAAGAATTTAAATACAATCACTAAAAATGGAAAAATTGGAAGATCTCTCCAACTTCCTCCAAACTGGAAAATCCAACTGCACACATTTTGAATCTAACTTTATTTACTTTAATTTATCCTATAATCATTGTATTAGGGTATGATAGTGAATCAATGCATTTGAATTACAGTTCTGGGAAAGAATATGGAAAGTATCATAGACTGCCAAAAGAACACTTGCTGATGAAGATCAAGGATTGTAGCCTTCAGTATGGATTACAACTCACGGTAAAGAAGACCAACATCCTCACAACTGGACCAATAGGTAACATCATGATAAATGGAGAAAAGGTTGATGTTGTCAAGTATTTTGTCTTGCTTGGATCTACAATCAATGTATTGCATTAGGTAAGCCTGCTACACAAGGAACTCTTTAGAGTATTGAAGAGCAAGGATGTTACTTTGAGGACTAAGGTGTGCCTGACCATGAACCATGGTATTCTTCATTGCATCATATGCATGTGAAAGCTGAACTTTGAATAAGGAAGACCGTAAAAGAATGGATGCCCTTGAATGGGGGTGCTGGAGAAGCATATTGAAAGCACCATGGACTGCTAAAAGGACAAACCGATCTGTGTTGGAAATAGTTAGGCCAGAGTGCTCTTTAGGGGCAAAGATGGCAAGACGTACTGAAGAAGGGCATCAGGTTTGGTAAAATGAAAAGGGCAGTGAAAAAGAGGAAGGCTCTGAAAGAGATGAATTGACACAGTGACTCAGGCATAGGAACGATTGTGAGGATGGCACAGGGCCATGCAGTGTTTCATTCTGTTGTGCATAAGGTCGCTATGGATCAGAACCAATTTAATGGCACCTAACAACCTTGTGTTGTGTCCTCCTGCATGGACCTGGGGCTTGGACTGTGTTAGGGTAGACTAGAGAAACAAATACATAGACATTCATATGTGTATAAGAAAGAACTTTATATACAAGAGCAATTGAGTATTGAGAAAACAGCCCAGCTCACTCCAGATCAAGTTCATAAATTAGAAATTAGCCCATATGTCCGTTATCAATCTATAAAGTCCTCTTCAGATTCATGAAACACATGCAATGACACTGAATGCAGAAAGATCACAGGCCAGTGGGTAGGAAGTCTTGTGCATCTAGTGGTGTTGTAAGCATCTCAGTGCTGGCAAGTCTCTCTACATGGCTTCTCTGGCTGCAAGACTCTAGCATAGTTCCATGTGTCTTGCCAGTATAGCATCTCCCAGAGAGTGAGCATAGAAAGAAACAGAGAGACA